TAAAAGTATGTAGAGGTCTGGTGCAATATTCGAGCCTCGGGCCTATTTTCGCCCAGTTAATAAAACTGCTATTTGTCTACGATAAAAAGTATTTCAATTTGCATATATGACGTTTGGATACAATATACAACACCGATAACTCTTTAACAGGGCATGTCTGATGTCGAAATTCTAAGAACGTCCATTCAGCCTGCAATCAAACTAACTAAACAGAATAGACCAGATACTGATTCTATTTACGACTGGCTGTATTTCATTCCAGGCACTATATCACGTTTACCCACGTGAAGTTCCGGGTTAGTATTTGTGTTCATTAAGAGGCGACTAACGGGATCACATCGTCATGTTCGCTGCATAGATGAATGTCATCGTATCCCATATGCGTGGATCAGGCTTCATGATGTCAATCACCGGACTGTCTGGTCCAGATTCGATAATTTATAGATGGCCGTAAAAATGTTGCACTACAGGTGCAGCGTTAAACTACAATCAAATACAAGTATGGTTTGTCTGTGCCAGGTTCAAACATAGTACCTTCGGGTGTTGCTATGTAGATGAGCAATTTATACAAGAACATGTTTACTCCGATATTTCCACCAAATGTTTTGCTACTTATATATATATACACATATACTCGATATAAAGTTAACAATATTATCTAAATTGGATAGCATTTTTAAACTCCGATTTAACGTGTTGTTTAAACTAGGGATGCACATAACCACACGTAGCGATAGCCACTGCTATTTATTCACCTTATCTTAATGAGATTTGTGAATCATCTCGTTGCTTGACCTGAATCCAAAACAGAAAATTTATCTGCACGTCCGTCAAGGGGCGCTGGGAGATGAACCGGAAGTGGGATTTTCTCACCTCTAGGAGTGAAGAGGGAAGCCGTGTCAACAATGTCACCTCCGATTCAAGAGAGCTCATCCTCATCAGGTGTACTCCTGATTTCAGCAGAGGCTAAAGGTCGCAAGTTAGTCTGTCTCACCAAGGCTTGTTTGAAGAGTTAATCACTGCCACCCTAGCAGGACAACAGACTTTAGACGCCGGTATACAATGTAAGTCAATTGTACAACAAACAACTTCAACTCAGATAACTGAGCAAGGAAGGTCTAAGAGTGCAAGATGGAGTCTTGTATATTTTTTAGACCAGTGGTTATCATAAACTTCACAGAACGGGAAGGCAAATGTAACTTGTTATGATATTCACACAATCACATTCACCAGTGTGTATCATTATAGTAATTTATGGTTCCCTACCGACAGCGTCAGGTATCATGCTTCCGAGAAGGGCCAAATTACACAGACTAGTTCTCGGCTGGTTCTACGCTGAGTCACTTCTTTATTTTGAACAGACGGATTGCGTAGGGACTGACATAATATCCTGATATATGTGTGCGTGTGTGTGTCACACAGTGTGTGAGTCTGTCCGTGCGTGTGTGCATGCGTAAGTACGTAAATAAGGAGTATTATTAAATTGTTCAACTCCTCTCTTTTCCTTCTGAGAACGTTACAATTACCTTCAAAATGATTGCCACTTGGCTTGAGCGTTACACACAAAATAGAAGTCAGCACTCGGTACAAAGTCATTCAGTATTTAAATAAGGTTAAAGAAATCCCAGTTCAAGATGACAACAAGTGGAATATGACTCATATTTACACAGATACACTCAAGACTTTTGCATACATTCCCAAACCCCGTAGATCAGAAAGAGATAAAAATCTAGATGTAATGGATACAGTCATCAAGTATAAACGTCATCATACCAACGGGATGGCTTTTAATTTTCATCAGTCGACCGTCGGTGCCCCCTGACACGTAATCCTTAAATGTGTGGCGCTCCTACTCTATATTTCGTGCACAAGCAGGATTACCATGTCAGAGGTGGAAACTACAGTGTATCACTTTATACCCTGATTGTACTTTGTACTCCCGTCTTTGACGGTGATAAGGAAATCTGTTGCGACAGTGGCAGGGCATCACAACCCGACCCGTCATTGCGGGTTACTGGGCGTAGGTCTCATTCCCGTCCATGTCACTTCCCCGTTCGATCATTCCACTGTAAACATTTGGTAATCATTTCAGTGCTTACTACTCAGGATAATTATGTTTCCCGTACCGAACAACCTTTATCTTTAACATAAATGGTGAACGTTTAACTTTCTCATTCGCTATCAAGGTGTAACCTTCAGACTATTTGGACTGATAAGTGTATTCATTCAGTTTCTACATGGAACGTTTGCTCAATAAATATCTTCAAGTTGTATCCTGTATGGAATATAGAACTGCATAATTATAATAAATCATCCCATACAAATTCGTCTGCACATGTAACCTTTTGCGGAATGAAGTAGAGCATCACTATCATAAACATTGCTAACGTGTAAATGAGCTTTAACGTAACGTTCAAGATTATTGCATTCGTATAGCGTGTATTACGTCTTTCAACACGTTTTGGAATCCAGTGGTTGGGGATCGAACTCTCACCGCTCTCTTGGAAGACGCTCTGTATACTACATCCAGGAAGTGGTCAATGAGAACTAAATCCATGAAGACCTGCACGTCGCATCAGTGTGACTAGCAAGACGGTTTTGCCAACTAAGGTGCCGCAATGGGGTGCGAGATAATTTCAAATGGTCGTATGTTCGAACCTTCAACTGCTCCCACTGATTATTTTAGTATATATCAATACCGATCTAGTGGGGTTTCTTCATAGCGGCCAATGTATCAAACCTGTTTCACTTGGTGCTGAAACCACCATCGTGTGTAGATATTTAACGTAACAGTCAAATTAGTTCTCATATAATAAATGTGTCGTATGTCGACGTCGTTACACGCCCTGCTTGTCTGTCTCCCAGGCCGGAGAGAATAAAATTTACAACAACAAAATACATAAAACAAACGCACAAGTCAAGTCAATGATTGTGCAAGTCAAGACTGCCTCAGTTCCAGGAATTAGGCTATGCTCCGTGTCTCTGATACGGCTACCCTCTTCTTTTTGGTAGATATGTATTTTTATATAATACGACATTTTGTCTGGGACTAAATGTCGGTCATGCTCGAATTAAGCTGGTAAAATTGCTGATGTAACATACAACATGCAGCGACTCGTTCTGCACATTCGACATAAGCAGCGCCATGTGACATTCCCTTCCATGAGGCGTCTTGATTCTTCTTTACCAACCAGGATCTGCGATGGGACACCCTCAACTTGGGTCTGGACCTGAGACTTTACGACTTGGAAGGTTCAAATGTCCAAAATAAGGCCAACATCGGATGCAGTTCATGAGTTACCTCTTGATTTAGAACGGCAGACACTGATCTTTGTGCCAGTTCAGCTGACTGTTCAAAACAAAGCACATATAAGTTTCATATTACCATGCAACTCAGCTAGTTTGAATACTAACGAAACCACTCCCATGAAACATTCATTAAAGAACAGGCGTTTGGGTGAGTGAGTGAGTTTAGTTTTACGCCGCACTCAGCAATATTCCAGCTATATGGCGGTGGTCTGTAAATAATCGAGTCTGGACCAGACAATCCAGTGATCAACAGCACGAGCATCGAACTGCGCAATTGGGAACCGATGACATGTGTCAACCAAGTCAGGGAGCCTGACCACCCGATCCCGTTAGTCACCTCTTACGACAAGCATGGGTTACTGGAGATCAATATTCTAACACGGACCTTCGCGGGTAAACAGGCGTTTGGATTTACCTCTTTTACCCGAGTTTACCAACTAACATCATCAAGCACGTGTTTTCTATTTGGACTTAACGATTTTTGTAAACATGGTTTTACACCTTTTCCAGCAATAGCACCTACGAGTACGAAAGAGGACGACCGAGTGAAGTCATTCGTTGGGAAGTCAAATGAATACATTAATAGACTGCGATTTTCTAATCTATTCCGAATGTTTCCTTTCCAATTTCCAAATTTGTGATGGAAAAACCAGCCAACACAGCTTACAAAAAAGCACACCAGTGATCATACATGGTTCTCGATAGTTGAATAACACAATATTCTAGACGACTAAATTGTGTACATGAACACATCAGAAATATCCCACTGATAACCTCGTGGTCATGGAACACGTGAGTTTTGATGGGCGATATAAAAATAAACATTTCCAGATCTAAAATTCTAATGGATCCTATTACGTTTCTAGCCAAGTCAAGATTACTTTTTCCAACTAAATTTTTGTATGTTTCACGAATCTCTATGACAGATTTGCTGGAGCATAACCTCTGACTGCTCGAGATGAACACTCCACAGGCATGCTCCTGATCAACTGCTGCAGGGGAGAAAACTCAGTTCTGCAAATCAACCACAATGTACCAAAAGTACTCTCCCTTGCTTCCAGTTTTTCATAGGAAAGCTTTTTCTGGCAAATCGTTATGTTTGGTCTGTCAGTGTAAAGAGTGCATAGTCCATCTCTCAGAATAGTCCTATAAAGTCTTTTTGTCACACTGAGCCACTTTGGTCACACCTAAATCTTGAACACCAGTGAAGGCAAATCTCAAAATATTTAGAATTCACTCTACAAAAGCAGAACCCACACCTATTAATTAACTCCAAGGTAATAAAAGCATGTAGTTTGAAGTTAAATTACTGACAAAATACAGAAAAAACGCATCAACAAAGCGTTTACTTAAATATATGTTGACTCTGCCTACCAAATATGAATATATTTCAAATTTGGTCCAGTCACATCACTGCTGAGTTTCCACAGAATACCTTCTAAATACAACCACAAATCCTGCACACTAAACTAGGGATGGCAGCCTCAATAAACTGTTGCCTCATATATATGAAAACAGATGGGTTTCCAGTGTCAAACAGGTGCTTCTTTGCCTAATGATTTTGCACTGCACAGCATATGTCTGAGCTTGTTCACAAAACAAATAAATGATTCTGAGCTTTTGTACATTTGTTACAAATAGTGAAAATGATGGGATATATTCAATAAATAATTTATTATTTTCAACTTCAACTTTACAAATCGCCAACAAGATTTTAACAAAATAACAAAAACAATGACTAGAGCAACAATGTAAATATATTTAGTATGATGCAGGCTGTTGTGCTTGCATGTTGTTTGAGTAACTGACTTGATGCCTGATGTAGCTACTAATGCAGCTGCAGTTGACAAACCTACCTGCCGAAATACAGTTGTCACAGATCATTTAACTTTTATAAATCAAACAATAGCTTTCATCCATAGGATAAAAGTTAACATCTCTTTTACTGAAAACATACATGTGCCGTAAAAGAAAAATTTACATTAACAGAATGAGAATATCAACAACAATGCCAAGTTGTGAAATAATCAAACTGTTTGAAGCAGCTGTAAAATCACAATATAATGCCCAACCAATACTGTTCTGAAAACGATTTGCCTGCAGACAAAACGGTCTTAACAAATAGAGAATCTCACTTTTGACATACATCAACATCAGTTGATAAAACTTCAAAGCTTGTCAAGGAGTTAGAAAACTTCTATCGGAAGTATTGATATCAAAAGAAGGAGGCTAATTCTTATTATCACCCAATATCATTCTTCCAAATATATTCTAAACAGTGACGACCAGTGCTGGGAGTGTAACATGACAGCTAACCAGCATCAGTGGCAGAGGGATTAGTCATGTCACTGACAACAAGTTATGTCATCTCATGTCGCCTGCCATGCAACAGGTCTGCTGGAAAGTATCACGTCTTGTCCTCCCCATCCTCCCGTTTCCTCTTCCTCGGATGGACTACAGGTGATGCCTCCAGCTTGTTGTTACCATACTTTGGATCAATCAAGTCGTCATCATCGGAGAATAGCAACTGTTCTCCAACAGGTCTCTCGAGGGACGTCTGGGATGGTGACAGGGATGCAGCTGTGGGCAAACTTGATGTGTCAGGCTGCAACAGAAACAGCATGATTATTATGTGTCAGTGTATCCATTCCAGGCTTGACTCTAGTGTAGAACTTTACAAATCAAGTAGAGATCAAAATACCCTAACATGTGTATATATCATAGCAAATAAAAAAGAGAATGCTGGGTTTTGTTTTGAATATCTTGAAAATGTAGCCAAGGAAGTATCAGGATAAGTGGCAGTCTCTGTTATGACCTCAGACAACACTACAACCTGTCATGATCTCGGCAAACCAACCAAACAGACTGTCATGTACCTTAGCCTGTGACACCATTATGCTCCCAAAGCGTACAGTCTTGGATGGCTTTTTGGCTGACCACACTGCTGCAAAGATAAAAGATGACAATATATCATTTCCTGGAGTCAAATATTTACACTGCCCAAAATATATACTGATATGTATATGCAGATATATGCAAGGATAAAATAATTGACTTAATGTATATATTACTACTGCCAAGAGTATGGTATTTACAGGACTCAAAAGACAAAGTGATATGTATATGCATATATACACACAATCCCTTGAGTTTGTCCTCTTTTTGATCCTTGTATTAAAAGAGAATAGGTGTTTTTCATTTTCAACATTTCATGTTTTCATGGGAAGTCAAGGTAAGAATAGGAGTCTCTTACAACCAATGCTTGTTGTCAGGGGCAACTACATTGATCAGGTGGTCAGGATCTGTGACTTGGGTGATTGCATAACATGGTATCCAGAATGACTGGATCAACGCTCATGATGTCAATCATTGGATTGTCATCTCAAGACTGGACTAACTACAGACCCGAGGTACATTGATGCAATATTTTTTGATTGCTCCAACAACATTAAAGTAATATGACCAGCACTCAGGTAAACCCCTTCTCATATTGTATCCAAGTAGAGATTTAAACTAGGACATTTGGTAATTATCTTAATCTGATAACAATAAAAAATCCATTTACCTTTGAGTATGCCCTTACTGTTATTCCTTGGTGAGTTGTCTGTTAGAAAATATATGTCAATTTTTTTAGCAACAATACTATAGAAATTCAGGATGTATTAAATCAAAATTCATTTTTGAAAACAGGACTACAAGTACAGTTTATAATTACTTAAAGTCTAGTTTTTATAGATTAAAACTCTGATCACCTTACAGTATCCATGCTAATGAGCATCTCCCTCCTGAATAAGCAATGGGATGGATATACTGACACATTAAAATAACAACCCCACTGCAATCACATACATAGGGTCAAATTTATATGTTCAACAAATGGTGCTAAAAAACTGGTAGAAATTGTCTGTGATTGGCACTTGTCCTTACTTACTTCTAAAACTGTCAAGAGTTAAAGTTTCATAAGGACTAGTATAAATTTTCCTTGCCTGTAGCATTTGTTATAGGTTACTAGGACGAGATGGCTAATTGTCATGTTTCTTCTGCTTATTGTGTGATGAATCTAATTGGGCACATCCTGTTTTTCAGTATGGTCAGTGGATGTACTTACAGAATGCTTGTTTTATGCTACAGCATACTCTACCTTGCTGTTTGTTGTTAGCATCTGCTTTTTTTCCAACATAGAAACTGGTTCCCTCACTCATTTCATATGGTCCTGTCGTTGAAGCTTGAAGTCGGAGGCCTCTCTGTACACTTAAATACCTCTGTGTTCTAGGGCTGGTGCTTCTTCTCCGAGAAGGTGATGTTTCACTCAAAATATGCAGTCCCATTTTTGGTGTAGATCGAGGGCTTTTGCCTGGTGATGGTGCAGGGTTCTTTGCTTGTTCTTCTGCTTCCACCAAAACTGACCACTTTTTTGACACAGAAGCAAAGGGAGAAGCATTTGGCACAGAGGCAGAAATTTGCTTTGATAAGTCGTTAGACTCTTCATCAGGACATGGTGCTCCCCACAGCAAAGGACCTTCTGAATACAGATATCTGGTCTTCACACCCCTTGAACTACCTTGACTAACCTTCATGTGTTTGTTTCTATTCAAGCATGAGTCAGATTCAGAATGTTTATGTGACACTGCAAGTGGTGAATTTTTACAAAGCATTTGTTTGTTGTGCCGTGCAACAGGAAGGGATATTCTACGTCCTTCAGACTGCTGTTCTGTTTTATAGCGATTTAAGGGTATGAATTGTACTGAGTCAAAACTGGAAGTCTGTGATGTATCACCATTGGACAGATTTGCTCTGTGTTGAGTGGAAGAATCGTGACTGGATTGAGACATTGTCATTGTAGCATTAATAGCTGAAACAATTGCTGAAAAAGGAACATCTTCCTGACATGCATTATCACTTTTCAAACCATTGCTATCAAAGTTGTTGGGTATGTCTGTTGTTTTATCCTCAAGAATGATGCAAGAATCTACATCTCTTGCACTTCCGCCTGAATCATCATTCATGTCAATCTCTCGTTCTGGTTCTGCTATTTCATCTGCTGCTGACACACTCTTCTCTTCCTGTATATCCACTGATTCCAGTTCACTGCTGACAATCTTCCCATCCTGAGACAGATGGCTAACCTCACCCACCACACATGGCATTACATGTTCAATGATCTCTCGACTGTCAGTTTGGACAGCACTGTTAGCTAGAGGAGGAACAATGGTTTGGGAGGATGAACTGACACACTCATTATGTGTTTGAGAGGAGGCAGAGTTTGTTTCACAGTGAGTCTGAACACTGCTGTCAGCTGTGTCCATTACTGTCTGCGTGGAGACAACTGATGTCTCATTCTCTGTCTGTGTTGCAGTGGTGTGATTGTTGAAGTAGCTTAATGATGTCTGCTGTGTTGCCTCTGTCTTATCTCTGTCCACAATAGCCTGTGAATAGTAACATTGTTTTATCCTTCAAGAATAATATAAGGGATATCCCTAAACCAACCTAAGTCACCCTAAATCAGCATTACATTCATACTCAATTTGTAAACTTTTGTTTCAAATACCCATCTCATTCAGGGACAAGTAATCTTACAAGTGATGTTGTGGCAATGAGCTATCTGTTCATAAGAGTAACTGAGGCAGACATAAAATGTTGAAATGGTTTGCAGAGCCTTTGCTCGAATCTTTGCAGTGAAATAATTGCCCTAAACTCCATCTTTTCTTGGAGATGTAAGCTAATGGCCAAGGTTACCTTGAGCTCCTGATACTGCTGTGCAAGCCTCATGTTAGACTCCTCCAGCTGATGGTTCAGTGTTTCTAGGCTTGTCCTGGCTGCATCTGTCGCTGCAAGGTCTCTCTTTAGAGTGTCAAGGTCTGTCTTCAAGGTGTCTTCCTGAAGGATTGCAAATGAAAATATAACATGAACTAGAAAGACAACTTGTCAGATGTATCTTGTGTTCCACATGGTTCATTATTACCCCATGCAACATTTGAGGAAGAGCTATGTAATGCAGATTAGATGGTTGTAGCGAACCTGTTGAAACATAGAAAGGGATTACACAATTAATACATCACATTGTTTGATGGTAATGCATCAAGGGCAAGTCAAACTATTCACAATAAACATTAATGCCTCCAAACACCATAGGGTGTCGAATCACAATAGTCATGATAGCATGAAAAAAAACCCTTGTTAATCATATTTTGTTCCATTCATCTAAATCCAAATGAACTTTTCTTGAAGAGAAAGGCAGATACCCATTTTTCTTGAAGGAAACCTACACTGTACGACAGCAGAAGCACTTGTTGAACTATTTCAATTGTAAAATTGGCCTCAATAGTTAAACCTAGTAACCTGGCTGATTGTTAGTTGGTCCTAGCATGGCTACACATGGCCCAGTCCTGATTATTTATGGGCTGCTGAGATATAGCTGTAGTATTACTCACTGTGCCATAAATCATAATTGATAACTGACCACACACTAAATGAGTACAAAGAACCAACTGTTGAATGTTACTGTGACCTGTTTGTTCCACTGTGTGAGTGCCTCTGCCTTGACAACCCTCTCCACATCCAGCTCCTGCTGCAGCTGATCCACCTTCTCCTCACCCAGCTTCACCCTGGATTTCAAGGTCTGGTTCACTTCCTCCAGTTCTGCATTTCTGAGCCTGTGCTGGTCAGCATTGTCAAGATGTCGCTGGACCAGATTGTGCATTTCATGTAGGTCATCTAGAGATACCTGTAATTTCGGCTAGTGTATGTTAAATGTATAACATAAAGTCAAAACCTCCAACTGAAACCTGCTACCTGTAGCAGAGAACATGCCTACCCTTTTTGCAAACATGAAGTGTCATCACTGACTTTTAGTAATACATTTGTATAAGTTAAACTTATAAATTGTTCATCTTACGACAAGCATGGGTTGCAAATATTCAAACTCAGACCTTCACAGATGTTTCTTTAAGTCAGCCTTTTCTGTTTTTATCTTACCTTATATCGGGTCTTATAGTGATCTAGTTCCTTTTCCAGAACACATCTCTGCTCCGCAACCTATGAAAAATAAGATTGCCATCATACAAATCATTTTCTCACTTCCTAATGTTATTACTCATTGCATAGAAAAATTTCTCTCATTGCCACATTATTGTTGATTTTCTCTTAATCGCTGTTGGAATAAGTTAAGAAATACACAAAAATCCATTTAGAAGCTAGAAGAGTTAACGTTGGTACATGAATCAGGAACGTTTCCTGGATAACATTTCATTTATTGCTTGTTGAAATGCTAATGGTCAATGTTAATCTTTTGATGTTACAAACAATAAAGAAGTTATTGATCATAAATGTAAGGTGTATGAAAGGGGATGTTCTTCTGTTAGATTCATCTTGCTAACATCCAAAATAAATACACGTACATGACATTCATATCTTATTAAGAACATATACTGAGTCAAAAAAGAAACTTCACATTCTTTCTTCAGGGCACTATAAAAGAACAAGAGATGGTAAGATTGTTAAATTGTTATTATTTCATTGCTGAGATCTGTGTGATGTACACGATACACTGACAGTGCCATAATCAGTTCCATTAGGCTACACCGCCGTTCCAAAACATGGGTATACAGAATGTCAAGTCAAAAGAATAAAAATGCGAAATTTCTCAGTTCAATATCGTGTATGGCCGCCCCGTGTGCATTCACCACTGCCAAACACCGTCTTCTCATCGACTGCCTGATGCTTGTGAACACGTGGTTGGGGATTCTGCGCCATTGCTCTTGCAAGGCAGCGCCAAGTTCCTGCAAATTCTGAGGTTGGTTCCTAAGACCACAAGCCTTCTCCCAAGTGCATCCCAAACGTGCTCTATTGGATTGAGGTCAGGGGACCTCGATGGCCAGTCCATGACGTTGATTCCAGCGTTTTGAAGGAAATTTCGCGTCAACATCGCGGTATGCGGCCAAGCATTATCATGCTGGAACTGTAGACCTGGGCCATGAGCCGCCATGAAAGGAAGGAGTTCAGGGGTGAGCACCTGGTCGCGGTAAGCAGCAGCTGTGAGGTTTCCACAGAAAGCACCCCACACCATGCAACTTCCGCCCCCCGAATCTGTTGACTTCCTGTACACAACATTTGGCATACCGTTCACGACGTCGTCTCCAGACTCTATGCCTGCCGTCCGCGAATCTGAGGGCAAACCTGGATTCATCGCTAAAGACGACTCGATTCCAGTCTCTCTGGGTCCATCGGAGGTGACGTTGGGCCCACAGCAGACGTTGACGTTGATGAAACGGTGTCAATATTGGCCCATGATATGGACGTCGAAAATGGAGATTGGCAGCCCGCAACCGATTTCGAATGGTCTGTGAGGACAGTCGACCTCTAAACATCTCAGCCCTGGTTCGTGTAGCCGGCAGAAATCTGTCACGTAGGGCGATTTGATCGGTCTTCTGCTCGTGGCGTCACACGTGGGCGACCCGACCTTGGGCGATCAGAAGTGTTGCCAGTTTGTTGTAGACGACCTGCATAAAGTCATACACAGTACGACGGCTGCATCCCATTGCTCTTGCAACGTCAATAACTGATCTTCCCGCTTGCAACATGCCAACGGCACGTTCACATTGCATATTTGACAATCGTGGCATTTCAAGTACCGTTAGAACTGTCGTTTAAAAGTGTTTTTTCAATTCTTGAGGCCAATGCAAACACGTGCATATGAAGAAAACTTCGATGCGAAGATCACGTGATCGACTGCACGTGCAAAACCTGATTTGGCACTAACATCATTTGCACGACGAATGGATGGGTTTGAGTGGGTTTTGCTAACATTTTTCTAGAGTCGAAAGATAGGGATCCCATTTCGGATACATAGATGTATCATCAGAGAAAAGTTATTCATTATTTTGTCAAATTACATTTTGTGAAGTTTCTTTTTTGACTCAGTATACATGAAGTTAACAAAGCAAAGTTATATTAGTGAAATCTAAATGAGACAAATCCCAAAACCTCGCCCCCAAAAGATCCTTTCAACTTCTCAATGTATATTTTTCACATTGAGTGAGAGAGTTGTTTTACGCTGCATCCAGCAATATTCCAGCTATATGGCGGAGAAATAAAACAGACAAAAGCATTTTCATTTATACCCATGTTTTGATACCGTTTTAATATATTTAAATCTTAATGCATGGTTTTACGCCACACTCAGCAATATTCCAGCTTTATGATGGTCGCCTGTAAATAATCGAGTCTGGACCAGACAAACCAGTGATCAACAGCATGAGCATCGATCTACGCAATTGGGATACAATGACATGTGTCAACCAATTCAGCGAGCCTGACCACCTGATGAGTTAGTCACCTCTTACGACAAGCAACTGGGCTACTGAAGATCAATTCTTACCCGGATCTCCACGGGTACATCTGGGTAAAGGGCAAACATTCATATCTACATACTAGTCAGACACCTTGACCACATTCTGCATATACTTAATTTTACTGTACACACAAACAGCTTTCTATTGATTTAATACAAGTCTAGGAAATACAGAATCTTCTGGGCAAGATTCATTTGAATAAATATTTCATTCCAGTTTGGCATGGTATGACATTTTGTGAAGTTTCTTTTTTGACTCAGTATACATGAAGTTAACAAAGCAATGTTTTATATTAGTGAAATCTAAATGAGACAAATCCCAAAACCTCACCCCCAAGAGATCCTTTCAACTTCTCAATGTATATTTTTTACAATGAGTGAGAGAGTTGTTTTACGCTGCATCCAGCAATATTCCAGCTATATGGCGGAGAAATAAAACAGACAAAAGCGTTTTCATTCATACCCATGTTTTGATACCGTTTTAATATATTTAAATCTTAATGCATGGTTTTACGCCACACTCAGCAATATTCCAGCTTTATGATGGTCGCCTGTAAATAATCGAGTCTGGACCAGACAAACCAGTGATCAACAGCATGAGCATCGATCTACGCAATTGGGATACAATGACATGTGTCAACCAATTCAGCGAGCCTGACCACCTGATGAGTTAGTCACCTCTTACGACAAGCAACTGGGCTACTGAAGATCAATTCTAGCCCGGATCTCCACGGGTACATCTGGGTAAAGGGCAAACATTCATATATACATACTAGTAAGACACCTTGACCACATTCTGTATATACTTAATTTCACTGTACATACAAACAGCTTTCTATTGATTTAATACAAGTCTAGGAAATACAGAATCTTCTGGGCAAGATTCATTTGAATAAATATTTCATTCCAGTTTGGCATGGTATGGCATGGTCGCACCTACCAGGTTCGTGTGATGCTGCAGTGTGGTAAGTCTCTGATTCAGTTCCTCCATGTCTGCAGTGAGGGCTGGTTTACTTTCCAGCTGTGTGCTGACAGTGACCACTTGCTGCTGACATCTGTGGAGGTCCACCTTCTGCTGCTCCATCACACACTTCTGGTGTTCATTCACATACATCAGGCTCCGGTTCAGTTTAACAGCTTCTGTCACTGAAATGAAAGATACAAGTTACAAGAATAATTCTAATTTTAGCTCTCCTTGATATGGAGATCAGTATTAAAACAATTCTGTTTTAACCTGTACTTTGTAGAGATATTGCGAGTTAAAAAAAGAGAATTTTAAATACAGTATCAAATAAACTAAAATCTCTCCAAAAACACTGAAACTGAATGCACATGGAAACGCCTCTATCTATCTGAAAAATAAACCATTAATTTCATAACTGTGGATAAAGAATAGTGTCAAAAAGGTCAGAAGCAGTGACACATGTAAGTTAATGATGATGGCTGACCTGAGTGTCAAATCAACTTAAATGAAACTTTCACCTCACTTTCAGTTTCATTACCACAGTCTCTTTGTTTCAATTGATACACTGTCGAAGCATTGGTGAATGACACATTCTAGGGTATCAGTTTGTTACATGACACTTTCCTCAGTGTATTGGCCACCTTTCAGGGAAAGTGTTCAACCCATCCTTAAAGCAGTGGAAAATAGGATGTGCACTTGCAAAATATTTCCATTTGGGAATACACAAAGCACAAGCATAGAACCAACTAATCATTATTTTGTGCAACTCTGTCATTGTACCTTCAAGTGCAATGAACTGTGATTTAATTTGTAAGGTATATTAGTCCAAATACCACTGACTGTGTCTGATTTGGTTTCATTTTAAAGTTCAAGCAACATCTGTGAACACAAGAAATGGGCTTTGTTGTCAGTTGGGTCTTCGGCATGAGGCCAATGCTTTAACCATTAGGCTACCCCACCAAACACCAGAGAGAACGATTCATCCGTTGGAGAAAGTATGTAAATGTCTTCTTGTTGCTGCACACGCTTATAATCCAACCTGCACTGAATACCAGATCTAGCTTCATCAATGAAGTAGAATACAATGAAATTGTCTGTGAAAGTGAGTTTTGACCACATCCATGTCTCTATATCAGCAGCTGTTGTGCAGGACTAAAACAGATTTGTCCCTTGCCATTAAGACATTGTCATAGAATGTTTGCGAGACCACTGAAACACCATTTAATGTTCAAAGTGATATGCTCCGGACAAGATAACCATCAAACACATTTTGCACTGAGTCATGTTTCCATGGAAACCGCAAAAAATAAAATTCTGTAAAATTTCAAAATAGCAAAAGGCACATCTATAGGTAATGATTAGCATATGTGTGAAGTTTGGTGAACCTAGCATGTAAACTTTATGACATAAGCTCCAGACAAAGTTTCGGGAAGGAAGGATGGACAAAAGGGCATTAGGAAGGATGGATGGAAGGACAGAATCAACGCTATATAGCCCCGTTACTTCATAGCGGGGGTATAATTACAAAGGCTTTGGCTAATAAAATTTGAAACAATACCCATTGACGAAATATCAGAAAGAAAATATTTTTTCATAAACATGTATATAGAAATAGCATGTATATGAACAAGAAAAACAGGAAGTAAAATAATACTTCCTAACTACAAAAACCTTTCCAAAGAAAGCAGTTGTTCTGTCTGAAAGCGATGAACCCTTTAAATACTACTGGCTTATCAGCCAATAAGGTCTAATATCTGATTAGAACATGTGACATTAGGCACCATTTGGCCACACACGAATCCTGTGCCCTGAGGATAGGACAAAAAACTTCAGTCAACATCCATCTTTATAACTCGTTATCTTTACCCAACTTCAAACAAATCTAAACATCTAGTGTTCCAACAAATCAAACACACCATATCAAAACACACAAATATTAAGTTACATCAAAATTGCTCATGCAAAAAAGTTATGATTGGCACATGGTCAATAAAATAATCACATACACCTCTGATGAGAATTGAGCCAGTGAAGCGAAACTGACAATCTTTTACATCTGGAATGTTAAAACAGTCAGCAATTGCCCTGCTGTGTGTAGGCTTATCGCACTGACAGGGATATAGATCTGTCCCCGCGTACTCCGACATGATCATGCAAGGCGGGTATGAGTGGCGTTTCTACCTCTAACAGTCCTGCTGGGTCTGACGGTGTGTGAGTGTGCTGTGACAGCAAATGGATGATATGGTTACATGTTATCAGCTGCTTCATTTTCATCTCACAAGGATTTCATTGTGTGCTGACAGGTAATTCCAGGTAAATGTTTAATTTTTTATCTTTTAGATTAGAAGTACATTTCTACATCACCATACATTTTTATATTGACTGAAGCTTGAAATATTCAAACATTTTTTGTCAAAACTGAAACTGTATACTTCTGAGGTTCATAATGACAGAACTTGTGCAACAACTTGTATCTATCAGGGTATGTATGATACAGAACTACCAGTGTTACATTCATTACAATAAATGATTGACTGCAATGTAATTTGCACCTAGACTTTTCAGAAGGCAGGAGGAGCAGATATTGGGATTATATGCATTGGAGTTAAACAATGTATTTTAGTTTTGTACACTGTAAAAGCAGCCAGATGTAGGTAATCTATTTACACTGACTGTGGTAATGTCAGGCTTAGTTTAATTTTTCTAAAAGGAAGATCAATAGTTCAATCAATATATTTGTAATCAAATGTAACATTCTTTGGGTCAGTAGATGTTTTTATGCATAAATGTGTATAATGTTCAATACCCCAATGTGGTGGTGGAATTGGGTTTAACGTCGTGCTTGAGAATATTTCGCTCATATGACGACGTGCATGCGTGTGTATGTGTGTGTGCGGCTGCTTGTACTAGCCCAGACTTAAGCTGGTTTTATAGTGCTAGCCCACTGAGATACCATGCCGCAGTGAAGCATGAATATCCCACTCAGACACATTATACTGACTCTCAGCCGACCAGTCCTTGTTCAACCCATTAATGCCGAGCCCCAGGCAGGGACCAACAAGTACCATATTTTAACGTCTTTTGGTATGACGCAGTCGGGCATCGAACCCGCGACCTTCCACACTCCGGGCGGACGCTCTAACTACTACACCACGGAGCCGGTCATACCCCAATGTGAAACATGTTGGTGTTCAGTTGGTTTTCATAGATTCATGCACAGTCTTCCACTTCTACAAATGCTTCCTATTGCTATAACACATCTTCAGACACTAATACTATGTAAAATGCATATGATGTATTATTTTTTTGAAAAGTTAAATTGCATAATTTTTAAAAGATTTATAGTTGTTTTAAAGGTGTGACGTAAGGGCAAGAAAACTCCAAACCTGTCAACAATGGCTTGCAGAATAAATCTCATTGATTATCTCATGATGCATAGTTCTAAATGATAATTTGTTGTGTAGTACTTATTTAAACATTTCATGTATTGTCTCTACTTATCTTCATTCAGTTTCTAGAAGACATAAGTATTTGTATTGTTAACAAACCCAAAGTTCAGTGGTGTATTTGTTCCTGTGTCAAGTAGAATGTAATGTGGTCTCTGAGGATGATTACAGAATGTATGTAGTGGAGGTAATTCTCATATTAGGCTCTCTGTGTGGACTTAACTGACTGAAAACTGTAGACAGCAAAGATAATTTTGATATTTATCACATCTGTCAACATTCCTAACTGAGACACTTGTGTCCTCAAGTTTGGCTGTAGTACTTGAAATTAAGTGTTCACTTAAACCCGACACAGAAGAACAATACCCAAGTAAACTGTTGTATATATATATGTAGAACTGCATTAGCCAGAACTATATTATTTACAGCTGAAATCCAATTTTATCATTTGACTATGTTAATAAAAAAGTTCTCTAGGATTCAACAGGATAGGGGTATCTGATTCACAGTCCTGGAACTACTGCTTAGGCCTCCAAGCAATGCTGGGGCGGTGGGGTAGTCTAGTGGTTAAAGCGTTGGCTCATCACGCCAAAGACCTGGGTTCAATTCCCCACATGGTTACAATGTGTGAAGCCCATTTCTGGTGTCCCCCGCTGTGATATTGTTGGAATATTGCTAAAAACGGCATAAAACTAAACTCACTCACTCCAAGTAATGCCAAAGTCCTAATTGAAACAACCAGATCTGAATCTCCCATCTCACTGGGGCTCCTTTTTTAATATAAATCTGAATATTTGTTACTATCCAAATTGTATATGTTAGGAGATTAAACGTTAGTCTAGAGGGGGTGCTGCCTAACGCTGACAAGAGGCTCAGCTATGCAGCAAACATCAATATAACACATTATGTCGTAGCTAATCTCATAACAAATTATTGCTATGTCATATATATTTATCCAATTCAGCTTGAATAATGCTGTTACTGTCACCGTAATCCCCCTTCCCCCCTACAGAGATGCTTAACAGCAATGCTCATAACAACCTTTTGATATACCCTATCATGGCCTATTAGGCATTGTACTGAAGCCGGAACATGTATTTATTAAAACAATAATTTACTGTTGGTCATGTTTCGAGAAATGCTTCTTCCCTAATGATGTATAGCAAATATTTAGGTGTGTTGATTAAGTGCAGTCAATTATGGCTACACTGAGACGGAAATATGAAGATTTAGGGCTAGATATGTCATGCATGCTGCCCTAACCATGAATAAGTAGACGTGCAAATGTAATCAATGTATTTGTTAGTGATCAATTAGTGGCAGTGTAAGGTAAGACAGCGATCCCTGGCTCTCCCTGATTGGTGATTTATCAGGTATTGATCCATATTGATCATGCATTGACTCCGATCACCTGGTGTGTTCCTAGATTAGGCAGATTATTGAAGCATGGACAAGAATTTATGAATAACTTCTAGTACTGTAAACAAATTCAGCTCCTTAAATGGGAAGTTGTAAATTGAGGAGAGTCAACACCTTACTGATACTGTTACCTCTGCAAGGTAAGTGCACATTAATGAAGTACTTGGCACTCAAGTCAAAGAAACATTGTTGGACACTGTGACAAATACCAATATCACTGTTTAAACCTGTTTTCGACCCTGAGAATGTAAACACATGTTTATAAAACAATTCTTTATCAACAAAATAAATTTTATGATATGAGCAAAGAAAATCAG